GATTCTATTATATAACTACATACATATTCTATTACATATGCCTCCATTAGGATAAACGGAGGGATCGTGTGTAATACTTTTGACGAAGATACCCAACTCCAACCGTTCAGTCTGGATTCTATTATATATTCCACTACATATTCTATTACATATGCCTCCATTAGGATAAACGGAGGGATCGTGTGTAATACTTTTGACGAAGATACCCAACTCCATCCAACCGTTCAGTCTATGTGCCTGCTTGATGCTTGTGCAAGGTCAGAAAGCTGCCCTGGGAGTTTTCATTACGGAGTCCACCGAAAGCGACCAGTTGAAACATTCCTCTTCGTACGTTTCCAAAAATCTTTAACAAGCATGCTGCTTTCAGCTATGCCCCGCAGATCGTATTGCATTCCTTCCACCGATACTGCTTTTTTAGGCCCCACAACCTCCATGTATTTCTCTGCTTCACAAATCACGAATTAGTGATTTGTGACATGCGACACTTCGAAACCCGTCAATCCGGATGTCACTTACATAAGTCCGTTCGAGTAATACGCCTAAAAGGCAGCTCTTATCAGTTCTTCAACACAGGTACCCTTCTGAACACTTGGAAACCGACTTATTTAAACCCGAATACAAACAGTTGCTCCACTGGGAAAATTATCGCGTAGCTGCTGCGAGGAACATTAGATCCCTGGGGTTAAACATGGAGAAACAATGGGGTGGGATGAACCACCGCAACTATATGAACCTCCGTTGAAAAACTGAGTCGTGACTGGACTGAAGGCGGAACAACCAAAAAACAAATCTTACACATTTCTGCACTCGATGTGCGTTACCCCGAGAGACGAAACCCTCTCAGGCAGATAAAACCACACGCAAAAGAAAACTCCCCCCAAACAAACATACCTTCGAGAACGCTAAGAAGTGTCGCATATGCGTAAATAGGTGAAATAAGCAAGGAAGCCATTGCGAACGTCCTTCCGAAAGCCATTTTGAGCGACGCGCTCCGACCTGATAGACCACAATTTCCGTGCTGACCAATCACATTGGTCCAAAAGTTCAGAAAATGAAGTTGAACATCTGAAGCCCTCGATATGTGTGGTTTCCCCAATAGGATACATAAGAGGTTGTTGATTTTTGCCGTTTCGGTGAGAAAAATGCAGCTCATACGATGAGAATCAACCGAAGAATTTTGAGACGTGCGAAAATTTTCGAGGGTGAGGGTGAAAAACCGCGTTTCAACGTAACAGAGAGCTCGCGCAGACTGGATTCAAGGAGACGTGGTAAGCGCGATATTTGATTCTACGCAGAAGTTGATGAACAGCGCAGAGGCCTGTGGTGGTCGAATAAAAACTGCTGTCCGGAGAACCAGCTGGTTTCGTCGGCCTGCTTTCGGGAGCACAGGGGGATATGACCACCCACACCCATGGTGAACAATTCGAAGAGGTTCTGTTGTGATCCATAGATTCAGCTGGTTACAGAGCACCTAATAAATGGGATTGACGACCAATGTCAGTGACCACGTGCCCTCACGGAATGCACATGTTTAGGACAATGACATGCATGTCAGTTTCTGTTGTGATTGCTGCCACCACGCATACTGGCGGCGCATGTGGCACTGTATCGGATGCTCTTCGTCTTATCAACGTTTCGACCAGTTCCGTTAACTGGACATGTACAGTTACTCTACAATGTTCCATCCATTTTGTTGACGCCTGTATCACGCGCCACACTTATGACCTTGATCCCCATCAGGTAAATTTGACTTTGTTGACATCACGGCTGTCAAACTGGACTGGTCACTTTAGTCTTCACATTGTGCGCACGCATATCATGAAGACAATTAAGATCCGCAGATCTGTTGACAGTTATGGAACGCCTGCAGGAGGTATACCGCAGAGGAAAACACCTCCCTCTTTCGGCCCCTCATTCAGGAACGCTTATCGGTTGTTCTCAAACGATAAGCCGCCTGTTGAATTGCTGATTTTATCATTGTATTTTTGCTATTAATGGTGCACCAAGTGACCGTCAACTATTGTCTTGCACGGTATAAACTTTAATACTGCGTGCCACCTGGTTTTATTGTTGCGATCGGCAATCAGCACTGATAGAGCGGCTGATTGGCGGTCTCACTACTACATCCGAGGCCGATAATTTGTGTCCTGATTAACCTGGGATAATCATCGAAATTTTGGCCGAGTTCATGTGCGTGTCTCGTTTACCATTGCCGGTGGTGACCGACACTTCAAAACGGTAGGTTGCTCAAACGGTGTCCTCTCAATCAACACAAGTTTTGTTTACATTAGGTTGCATTTCGTGTTGGTTTGCTCATAGCATTCATCGTCGTCTGATTATGTGACTTTGGATCTCAACTTCACAGGTTACGCCAAGACGACCATGGAAGAGGTTTACTTATGTTAATGATGGTGCTCTTCTTTTTGGCATACAGGCTAAAAGTCCTCGAGAAGGTCACAGCATTGGATTGGTTTATCCCGAGGCCCTCAAAGACCAGCAATAAAGTCCTATCAATCGAGTGCGCATCGTCGTCTGATTATGTGACTTTGGATCTCAACTTCACAGGTTACGCCAAGACGACCATGGAAGAGGTTTACTTATGTTAATGATGGTGCTCTTCTTTTTGGCATACAGGCTAAAAGTCCTCGAGAAGGTCACAGCATTGGATTGGTTTATCCCGAGGCCCTCAAAGACCAGCAATAAAGTCCTATCAAACAATCGAGTGCGTGAGTTTGAAGCGCATTCCTTGCTGAAGGGCTATCGCATTGGTTTTATAATTACCGATTTTACGGTAGATACTACTGATGATGCTCGCGAGTAGAATATGGTTTTCGCATAAATCCGCTTCATGTCTGTTGAAAAGTGAGGTTTATTACGGGATTAGTGGAATTGCTTCGTCGCATCCACTTAAGCTTGAGTGATATTCAATGAGTATCCGGGACATTTCAGGGGGACGCGATCGAGAAGAAGATGGATACGCAGTTTTCACAAACAAGATGAATATGGCAAGATTGGCATGACTTAATCACCTATTAACTCTAATTATGCGGTGTTACTGGCCTGGTTGTTTTCTATTTCCCCAGTCAACTTATACCTCGTCGTAGTCAAGTTCCCACTCCGGATTACCCTATCTGCTCTGTCTAGAAACTGGTGCCCTCAGTCTAACTCTAACTGATAAAAACCAAGCCAAAGTCGATTTTTCTTCATTATCAGAGCGCATTCTGCGCTTAAATGTATATCTCCATTTGATGATTTATCCCACGAAACACTCCCGCACACAACACGGTTCTGCTCGACATGCAGCCTACACCAACGCTCCGACGCCGTTTAGCCATGGTGCAATCGCTGTAATTATCAACATTCCAGTCCTACCGTCTCATTGACAACTGTCATTTCAATCAACCCCCGCGACTTGCCTCTACCAGCCTCTGTATGCTGTTTGCTTCTTCGAATTGACTGAGCCGTCTTTACTGGCCTTGCTTTCCACCGACCAAAAAGTGGTAGCCGGAGTATTTATTAATGCACAAACCGCACTTACGATTGTTCGAATGGTTTTCCACCCTGCAGATCTGGTAGCATGCACGAGGGAAGAAACCTCGTGTGGCGAACGTGTACGCCCCGCAGGGACGGTCGCCCTTTTACGTTGCAACGTGGTGAGTTCGCATACCCGCCACCCCTCCAGTAGCATGGGTGCATCGCCCATCGCCGGTGGTTCTGAGACTGGCCCTTAAATTCAGGAAATCAAAGAAAGTACTGTTGACTTCTGTTGGTTGCTGCTGGTGTTGGGCTCGCCTCAGTTGAGTTATGTACCTGGCAATGCCATAAACCACAGATGAAAAAAATTGGCCTCCCACCTGTAAAAAAAGCAATAAAAAAATTAAAAGTTCACATGGGATAGTCCAAAGATACTCTGCAATGCCCATGGCCATACATCAGCTAGCATGGCTGTATCTGCCTTCGTCAGAACAGAGGCTACACCGCACCAAAGCCCATTTCGTCATCCAAACAGAGAATACATCGACTTGCCGCTCCCAGTGACAGACACGAAAGTCTTCACCGCTGTGCAACATCTACAGATTAAAGCTGATAGCAGTGCTTCGGGGACTAGTGACTATTTCTGTTGCACACAAATTCTCTCCTGGTATTACCCAACTCATGTAATAAACGCCAGATTAGCCAGTTATCTCAGAAGACCACTCCCGCCAGCCCTCATTCATCTGATTCCCATACCGCGCTTCTGCGCGCTTATATTGTTTTTTACTAGATCCCTTGTAATGTAATATCGTATGTTAGCAAACTCAATATCTCGTCGCCAGCCTACTAAGTACAAATCTATCTACTCCCTACTCCATATAAACACTTGTCATCACCGTAATTGCAGCAGACGTCAAGTTTTCTTTCTGTGTATATTATTGCATATTATCCCGTTTTATATCCCATCAAACTCACCATGTTTTGCGAATCTCCTCCCATTCCCTCATCTTCCCAAGCTTTGAACTTCGGAAGTCCCCGTTATGGACGACATGGTTAGCTGATATCCACTCCACCTGGCCTATCATCTACAGCCCCGAGATCACCAAGCGGAACAAGAAAACCTACAATCCCATATCGTTCCTTCCCTTCGTTCCAGCTTGTTTCCTCGACCAGGCTGAAATGAATACCGCTGCCCAATTAACTGCACACCCCAGCCGAATCATCTCAACTGTGACGCCCGTCACGGGGCTGTCCAAAAACTGAGGCATGTCAGGCCAATGATGACACGGCACTGCCGTACTCAGTTTGATAGCACACCCGCAACTGTTCCATTCCTCCACCCAACCGAGCTGTCTTGCCTACTCGTTTCATCGACTGCAAATACGACGAACGCTCCAACTGACCCCAACTGCCTCCATGACATTCAATCCAACTCGTTGGACTACTCGTTCG